CCGGACGACGATCGCTTGCGTTTGCGCGCGCGTTGCGCCGCGGCCGGTGACCGCCGCAACCGTATGTCGGCCAACCGTTTGGCCAACGGCGACACGATGCTCAACCGGTCGCCCGGGCCGCCGCAGAACGTGCCGTCCTCCATGCGGATCTGGTCGACGAACCGGTCGATCAGCCTGGACGCGCGCTCGTCGTCCGCGGGCCGCCCGCACGTCCGCCGCGCCGGCACCGGCAGCCGTTTGTGCGACAGCTGCACCGGTTCCTCGGTCGGCGACACGGACACGCACAGGGGCCCGTCGTCCGACGAGGACGAGCAGGAGGCGGTGAACGTGGTCGTCGAGGTGACGGCGGTGAACGCGGTCGTCGGGGTGGCGATCGAGTGATCGCCGGTACACGGTTTCTTCCGTTTCACCTTGGTGTCGTCCGACCAAATGTCGTTGTCGGACCGCCTGCGATCAAAAAACGACAAAAGTAAGCACGCGGCAAGGACGGACGTCCACTGGTTTTCGAATTTCGCAGGCGTCCCAGTCGGTCCGCGGAACGGATAAAGCGTTTAATGTCTAGCTGTTCGAAACGCGAGATGTTTCGTGTGAAACGTCCGTAAAATTAAAACTTAAACGTATTGTAACACTGACATATTATCACGCGTTTGAAATGTTTCGGGATTTTGAATTTCACGAAATTTTCGAACATTATACCGCGCACGAGACGAGATCGGTGGCGGTTTTCGGTTTTCGGGGACTGTCGAAACACCGCGACGAGAGGTAAAAACATGACCGCAATGTCGAAAACCGCGATCGTTTCGGCGGATGGACTCGTTTAACGCTCATTGTTCGGTGCAACGCGAAAACGTTATCATCCCGTCGGCGCGATCGCGTGCGCTCGTAATCGTTACGCCGTTTTGAGACGGAATCACGTCGGATCGCGTGCGTGCTGCACACATAAGCGCAACTAGGGTAAAAAGAACCTGTGGGGGGGGGCTACCTCAGCCCTCCTACCAAAACTTGAAATAACCTGTGGACTACCCCTACTCTTATGCACCGTGTTAATATTCCGTTTTAAATTCTGAGCCAAGTTGGATTTACTGCAACGTGTCTTTTTTCTTTTTTTTTTTTATGTGAAACTTTTGTGAGTTAGGTAAGCTGTATGCGGTATGCCATGTATAACATGGAATATTTATAGGAGGGGGTAGCTAAATCTTGGTCATGGGTAACCCCCCCCCTTTTGTTGCGCCTATGGCTGTACAGACGTTCGACGATTGGTTTTCGCGCGCATTCCTTACGGGGTAACTCGATCGCGATCGACGTGTGCGGCACTTCAACGCGACAAACAACAGAACCGTACCGTTACGCTGTGCGATTGATTTCGATACCAGAGCGAACATTTCGCGTACGGACAAGGTATACCCGTACGAGATAGTTGTCGATAAAAAAAAAAAAACCAATCGCGTAATACGGATGACAAGCACACGCATGGAGTTAACGTTTAACTACTGCGCGGGCCGTGGTAATGATTAAATAAATACCGTCGGTTAGGTACACACGAAATAGTTTCAAAACGTGTGCCGGACACGACGGAATTGAAAATCGCGTCCGTCCGTAAAACGAAACGATTACAAACCGGGACTCGCGACGGAACGAGTAATATAAAGCGCCGTGCGTCTCACCTCTTTTGCACAGGCATCCAATGGGTGTCCGTGCACGGACTCTTCGTCCGTCTGCTACCCGGTGACATTTGGACGGCCAACAGCGGACTGTTGTGATTGCTCACGTCCCTCAAGCTCTCCCGGCGACGGCGAAGACACGTCCTTGCGGTGGGCGTCACGTCCTGCGAACACGCGACACGATATAATGTTATGCATCGACACATAATTTGATTATAACCGTCGAACTCGACCGAGCCTAACCGCTATTGACTTCTTACCCGTAACAGTCGTCCAACCTGCCCCGGTAACGTTTCGATTACAGCGCGGTGCTCCCGTGTGCGCCGCGCGCACGCGTACAGGTGAACGTACAGCTGACATTTGCGGTTTCGCGGCCGATTACCCGCCGCGGCGGGTGAACAACACCGGCATCGTAATTTTACGTCGCCGACCACCGGTATACCGTCGGTAGAAAACGGGGACGTCCATCCGACGGCAGGACAAATTTCTACTGGAATCTCGCGCCCGAAAATTCGGTCGAAGATGTTTTTTTTAATGTCTCCGCGTATTATAGCCGAACGGTTTTTAAGCTGGTACGTCGAACGTTTAACGCGGATGACCATAGAAAAATACAAAACACTTTGCTCGGAAACATTGGTGCATCGGTGTCGTCACGAAATCATGCGAACGGATTTACTATCGCTGAACGACGAAAAAGCGTACAGATACGTACCACGAAACGCGTGTCAAAGAATCTCACAGACGTTTGAGATTGGGGGTGGTGGATAGCGCAACAAATCTGTGTACCCCCTTCACTGACTGTTGTTTGAACAGGACAACGGGGAATATCATCGGACACGGTCGTATGCGAATAGCGTTTATCGTCGTAGAAAACGAACATGTATGTTCCTAGACGAGAATCCATACTGTTTTTCGTCAGGGTCGGGTGAACCGGAGTTGCCCGATTGCGACCCGAATCCAGGTAGTTGTATTTTATCCCAAATATAAGTATCCCGATTGCGTCCAGACACACATTGGTTCAAAAAATGTTTAATATTTATTTTAAAAGTATAATTACAAGATTGCAGTAACAAATAGTAAAATAGTAAAATAATAAATTTTTTACAATATAAAAAGATATGAAATACAATTATGTCAGTAAATAGTCAATAAATAGTCGAATATTAAAATAATAAATTGTCTACAGTAAAAAAAATAGTTAATAGTTGTTGTATACATCTATGGAAATTACCACGCCGAATATTGGTTATCGTGTGAATCGTGATTACGATGTCAAAATACGTATCGGACGCAATTGGGATATTTATTTGGTTTTGATAACCACATGAATAGTAATTCCTACCTGCTGTGTACGGGCCGCAATCAGGATAGGTGAAAAGGTAAAAAGGTTACATTGGGCCGCAATCGGGCGACGCCCGGGTAAACGGTCAATGATATTACAAGGACAGGCGGTGTATGGCGAATTCACGCGTCCGATTACCGAACTTACCGCGCACGTAGAGTTCTCCTTGTCGTGTTTTCCAGACATCCTGGACGGACGTCTTCGCCGTGGCTTTTCCGAATAACACGGTGACGACTCGTCTGCCACCGTCGTCTGTCTCCACGTGGCCGTTGCACCACCCCTCTGACTGGCCACCGTCCACTTTAACATTGTCGACGGTTATCTGTTAACATAAACATAATAGAATCATAATAATAATAATATGAAAAATAATGAAAAACCCGAGTGAACCGCACGAAAAATCGCTACACGATTAGGTCTACTGAACGCGTAGTCGTCGACCGCAGCCACAATACAATACAACATTTAATTGCCTTTATTATTTTCACATGTTTTCCTCAGTACCCATAGGTGCGTGGTACTTATACAGTATTATATTTCATTTTTTCTTCGTCAGACGTCAATCGCTCGTGAACGATTCAATTAGGCGCGCGCGAACACTCGGCTTAACAATAATTATAGTTGACTTGAAATAAATGAGAAGGGGAAAAAAAAAACAAAAAAACAAAAAAACATAAAACAAAAAATCGTGAGATAATATAAACCACTCCTACTGCAGGTTTCCGGTGGTGAGCATTATATTACGAGTATTTATTTACCGTTCCGGAAATTGAATTTCATTGTTTATCGCCTATTTAGCATATCACGTGCATTCGTACCATATCATATATAGTTATATATACGCACGAAAGTGGCGTATCGGCCCGTAACCGATTTAGTCGTTTGGAAACACGAATGATCTATGCTGCACTCCGTTGCCGTGACAACCGTGTGGTATATACACGTATAGTGACTTATTAGCATATTATCTGCTACCGAACGACGGCGGCGGTTGCAACGGGAGCGAATAAAAACCGCTCTTATTTGAAGAGTGTGGAAATATACTCCTTCCTACGTTTGGTTATTTTTTTTTTTTTCCATCCCGTCCTAGAACAATAGGTTTGTATATGTGATATTTCTTTGTCACGACGCCGTTTTTCGTATCGCGGGTAACAAGTCGGTGGACTTTTTTTTACTCCCTTTCACAACCACCAACCCTATTGCCGCGAGCCCATAAATTTCCAGGTACCATCCTCGACGCGGTAATAACCGATATATTCTCCCATGGATTCCTAACCGGGCCACTTAGACATTCTTTTGTGAGCAACAGTCGTGTCTTTTGTGAGCGATCAACCGTCGTAAATCAGCGATCAATTCGTGCGGAAACAAAAATGTATACGAGCGGCGAAAAAAAGCTAGAAAAGAGAATCACCCTTTGCGTTTTTCACGATTCCGTTCGTATCTCGTCAGGCTATGCATATCTAATTGCAATTTGTCAGCCGTATAAATTTCAAATACATTTTAGCGGTAGTGTACGCGTTAGAAAGTAATTATGTATTGCGTAGACGTGTTTTATGTGTATGTAATGCTCGTATTCAGTCACAGGCCCTCCGATAAACGGGTATCACAGGATATCACCGTAAGCTATAGTACCGGAGTGAAACATATCGTTTCCTTGCGTTTTCGCGCAGTAAACGAAAATCCAATAGGACATGGGTTTTAAATGAATTCAGACAGTTATTCGCAGTAACAATCAAAGGATATAAGTTTTTTTATTCAAATTATTAAAATTTACATAATGCATTTCCGTATACCGTAAACACACACGAATTAGTCTTATGAACTAATGATATGATTCGGTAGGTAACAGACTAAAGGGGTTGAGGTTTGTTAATTGATAAACTATGTAGTGCAGCTAAATGTAAATGGTAAATGTTCGTTCCGTTCATGCCGTGAAGTCGAAATAGAGTTAAGCCAGAGAACAAGTACAGTTACCGTTCCAGAAACAAACCTACACTGGTCACGAATAAACTTGATAGAATACATCGAAGACAATCATTCCTGATCAAATTCAATTGGATTATCTTTAATTACAATGCATATAGCTTTTGGCGTAGTCATTTTAGTATTAAAACAGTGCGGAAAGTGTACATTTGCATGGAAAAAAATGCGCTTCGCGCGGTATAAAAACGAAAAACATCTAAACACCGCGATAACACACAAAAACACGTTAAAATACATATTCATGGGGTAGAAACCCTGCATGTTTATTTAGAAATTTATTATCCGATAGTATCATTAGTGTGTCATTTGTGGTTACAACATGTACTTAAAATTAACATAAACTATAATGTGCAACGTAACACCGCGACGCCGGGCATGTCGTTATTTTTACGCTTTTTAATTGGAAAACCGATATAGTGATATTCGACCGTGGTTAGTCGGTTTAATCAGTAGCAGTGTGTTACGTACATATTGTTATCGGTATAAATAGTAAAAACGTGGTTGTATAAATTTTTTAAAAAAAAAAAAAAAACTATGAAAACACATGTCAATATGTTAATGCCCGTGCCGTGTGAATAAGTATACTAATAAAAAAAAAAAAAAACCTAATTGTTAGCGATTGATAACGGATGTTATGATTACACTTAAACGTTCGCGGTATGTCGCGAACGCGAATAAAACGTTAAAAAAAAAAAGGATTATGATAATGTCAAATCCGTCCGATACGTAGCAATGAAACCGTGTAAACGCAATCGCGGTAGTCGTAATGCGAAATCCACGTATACTCACGCGCGTCGTTACAACGCGTTTTCGGATCCGATTCGGTGGCGGCGGGTAGTTATTGAAAACGTCCCGCGAGAGGGATGGGAAAGGGGGTGGAAACGGCCCACGAGGAAAACGGATGTACGATAATTCCCGTGAAATCCGTTTACCGTCTGGGAGCGTTGATTAGTTAACGTCGAACGTTTACGGCCTATGAAAACGGCAGTGCGCTGCCCGGCCCGTCCGTAAAACGTCTTTGAACACCGGATAAATTGCGCCCGACCATTCGCCGTATGTCTCCGTGCGGACGACGTAAAACGTGGTGTAGGCGTTCGATACTCGGCGAGCATTAAAGGCTCTTCACCCCCAACCCCCTAGGGTTGCCGTCCGGCCGGTCGGACGGATACGTTGTCGATTAACACCGGGACGGACGCGACGACGGCAACGGTGAAAACCTATAACAATAGGTCTGGAAATCATCGTGTTAAATTGAGTTTCGGACGTCCGAAACAGGTGTGCCGCACCGCGGGTGCAGGTGGTTTACGGGGGTTTTTATTTATTTTTTTTTACTTTCCATTTTTCCTCCAGATCCGTCGGAGTAAATTTAAATGCCGTCAGTAAACACACGCACACACGCGCGCGCGCGCGCGAACGCATGTGTGTAGACGTAATGTACGGTACGAGGACCGGAAGCACGTATGCCGTATGCATGCGTTTGCTCGCGAACATGTAGGAAACGCTATTAAAGCTCACTCAGACACGTTAAAAAAAAAAACACTGTTTTTCAGACTTACCGAACTCGGGGGCCCCCATGCTAATTCGACCGTTTTTTTTTCCATTACACACCCTCCACCCCCGGTCGCGTTCTACCCCACATCCCAGCCGCCGACGTATTACGGTTATTTCGAATATTATATCCAATAAAACGTAATAATATTTCACGGGCGAACGGAACGCGCGGTGTGTGTGGGGTCCTCCTACCGATCGGATTTATCCGAAAAATTGCTGGTCCCTGATGGAGGACGCGGGGCGCAGGACACGGTAAACAATACATTATAATAGTACGCAAATATAAATAGTACTCACGTATATATATATATATATATATATATAAATGTATGTTTTGTGAACGCGCATGCCAGACGTCATGTCGCCCCGATGTTCGCGGACTTGTTTTGCGGATTTCCGTGGTTTTCGCGGCATCCGACAGCGGGGAGCCCGCATCGCGAACGATGATTGATCGATCGAATGGGGTAACGAACAGTGCCGCGATCGGCGGACGTTCAGGGGGTGCGATGCACTAACCGGATGCACGTCCTTGGTTTTTTCGCTGGTACGTATCAATGCGTTGAAGTCTTATCAAAAACGTTTCACTATCGCATTTTGAATAATGATTCGAGCAAAAGGTGTTTAAAGACATTACGATTAATCAACGATCCGCTTCCATTTATACATGATCGTTGGAGAATCGCGACTGGTAGGACTTAAATCTTACACTGGCAGCGGATCAGGTACACAGAGGTGTGGACTGCTGTCGCTGGCAAGACGTTTCGGTGTTACAACTGTGGGAATACTCGATTAAAAATATAATTTCACTGATGTTATCGCGGCCGGATTGTCGCCGCCGTACGATGCGCGTCCGGTGACAGGTCATTGCCGTCGGTTTTGGAAGAGTTGTCACGCGCGTAGAAAACACCGGAGGTCTGCAGTCGTTCACGACGAGAAGTTTAAGAGCGTTTTTTTCTTTTTTTTTTTTTTATTATTCTTAAGTATATATCTTTCCCTTATATAATATTATTAATAATTATATTCAATTATGTGCCCGCCGAATTACAGTAATTACGTGACGTGTTTATGTGGTACTAATATACGAGAGTTCCGTGCGAACAAAACACGTTACACGGACTCGAAGACAACATAATACGCGTAATATGTAAGACGGGCAAGGTCGTCAAAAATTACGGGGTGGGTGAAACGTCCGAATGCTTGTGCGCCGTGGAAGAAGTAATCAAAACGGAACCGATCATTTATTAATATGCTCTGACGGCTTGTAATACGCAGTCGCCGTCGATATATTTGAATACAAACGACTCGTTTGTAAACCGCTATAAATAAATAAATATTTTAAACATTTTTTTAACAATTCACAGTTTACATTACAGTTAATTAGTAGCTATAGGAATATAAAAACAGCATAGTTAACAAAACTTTTCAGAAACACCTATCAATATAATTGTTTAACTATTATAATATTTGTACGGTTGTATATTTTAAGTTCAAAGCGTAACAATGGACCTACGATTGTATTACACGTTATCAATAACATTACGATTATTTCAATTCTTTTTTTTGGCCCTGGAGGGATTTGAACCCCCCCCCCCCTCTTCCCCGTATGTACGCCAATGCAAACGAGTGCGTATTATTTACGTTTACTATTGACGTGCGATGTACGCGCATAACCTATAATACGTATGGCTTATTAGAATAAACGATCGTTACTTCTTATATCGACACGAATTCATATTATAAATCATAGGGGGCCCGCATACACGTACAGTAACAGTGTATTGTACGTAA